TATTGTATGTTTTCCTTTCTCCCCTACAGGTCTGTGAAGCAGGCAGAAGAAGTTGCAGGTGACCGTTAGAGAAATTGCAATTCTTCGAATCCTTGCTTATAGTTGTGATTTTATTTACTATGTGTAATCATTTAGAGAATGGTTATTTTTATAATATTGATAATAAACCAGTACTCCTGTAACCAGAGGGTGCCAGAGCGTGTAATCAGACAACACTAACATTGGCAGAGGATTCTGGGGTGGTCAGGATGCTTGCTGCCTTTTGACCTGATAGGTGTCCTGGGTTTAGATTACTTTATACCCAGTTATTAAGATCAATATTTGATATTAAATATTGCCTGATTCAAATAACTTTGCTTAAAATTTTTCTGTATTTTAACTTGTCTAGGGTTTTCTACTCCTATTTTTATAATATTTTCTCATTTTTTAGATCAATAAACATTGTACTTACCCACATGTGCCAAGCTGTGCCATTTAGATATCTCTGAGTTTAGCTGCTTGGTTCTCATCACCTGCCATATGTGTTTGTGCAACAGCAAGACCAGAGCGCCTTTCTATGATTATCTTCCTTGTTCCTATCAAAACAAATCACTGATACATCAACACTAAGCAGATCAATAAGGAATGAAATGCATGCCCCCAAATATATGCAATAAAAATTCTTTGATCATTTATCCAATTATTGAACCCAACTAAGATTATCTGTTTTAAAATTTGATATATGCTCGCTTTTGGAATGTGTTATGCATCTATGCTAAGTGAATGGATCTAAGTAAATCTATTGAATATCTTTATTGTCTGTTTTTTTTTTTTGTTTGTCTTAATCTAAATTTGCTTTCTGTACCCTTCAAGCATGAGATTAAATTATAAAACTGCCTGTATAACTGTCAAAGAAACAAATGTTAAAGGCCAGCACATAGTTAAAGAATGAACAAAGAAATTATGTCATATTCCTGAATCAAATAATATAATAAAATTTTTACACTAACATTTTCTTGTGTATAGAATCTTATGAGACTGTGTTTCATAAATATTATTGTTTTGTATAGGAATAAGCAAATGAAAAACTTAGAAAACAGTAACTTTTTGAGCAGAAAGGAGAGAAGAAACTAAGTTTATGCAACCAGAACACTCCTCTATTTAAAAATCTTTAACCAAAGAATATTTCTTCAGATATGCTCAACTGAGGATCCAAAAGCCTTTCCTATTAGAAATATTCTTTTCTTAAAAACACACACACACACACACACACACAAAGTATGTCACTGCCAGTCCCTTCATCTGAGTCATACCTTTCTCCATCCATCGTTTGGTGGATTTTTGTCTTCCTCTTGCCACTCTCCTTTTTCTGGAGACAGTCGTCCTACCAAGTGTCACACTCACCTCAGGAATCAGACCCAACAGGATATCAGAGTGTGGTGTTACTGAAGATGCTAAGTGGTTACACATACACGCACACAGACAAACATACACACACACACACACACACACAGAGTTTCTTTCTTCTTTGTCAATTCCTTTAACCACTTCCAGAGGCCAAGTACAGTGAACAGTGAGGCCTCAAATCAGAAAATTTTTCCAGGTTGCTTTCCTATCTCCTGTTTCAGATGTCACACATGAAACCTGAATTTCTTGACACTTGTCTCATTTTTCCTTACTCATTTTGCCTATGTTGGGTTTGTTAACACAATTTGAAAGTTATTGCTATGGTAGAACTTTGAAAATCCAACAAAACAACAATCTATGAATGTTCCTCAGATTCCTCACTCACTCCAACATGACTACTATGGACAGAGGCTTTGGGTTCTATGTTATACCACAGGCTCTGGGTGTCCTTGGTTGGGACTGTGGTGACTCCTCACCTTCTGAACATGGAGGCCAAACACTTTTTCTTAAAGCCATCACAATATAGTGTGGAAAACAGTTATATGAGCAGATAATTTCAATAAAATGTGGTAATATACAATTGTTGAGGCATTTACAGTCTAGGCTACTAAGAGCAGCATAAAAGAGCAGTTCTGAACCCATCTGGGATCTGGATGTAAAAGCAGGTGGTCTGTGGGATGGGTGGGATATAGGATAAGTTGATATTGGAGACAATACCTGGAGGAGATGCTGCCTCATCTGGATCCCCAAAACAGGGTCAACTGAGCAAAGAAAGTAGGTAGGAGATTTCAGTGGATCCAGTATTGAAGTCTGAGTGGGCAGGGTGTACATGGGGATGAGCATAATAAGCACATGCTATTTACTATTAGCACCTATAGAGTTCTATATGATGTGATAGTCAGTGTGGTAGAAAAGTGGACAAGGATGGGGCTAAGAAAATGTCATATGCCATCCAGTGGTCTTCAACCCTGGCTGCTCAGTCTTCATCCTCTGCGATTAAGAGTCAGTTGATCTAAGGTGTACCCCAATTATATTTTTTCCCAAAGCTTCTTATTTCATTCTAGTGAATAGCCTAGATTGAGAATCATCACTGAAGGGAGATATTGAAGATTTTCAGCAATGGAATGAGAATAACACTCCCAGACAGAGAGTTAGGATAATGGTAGGAGTGGGAGACACGGGCAGTGGGAAAGCCTGGAAATCAGACCAGTGAGGAGTCTGTTTCAAAGGTTAAAGTAAAACATGATAGAGGTCAATTTAGGTCTGTTACGTCAAAAGATGGTAGGGATATAAATATGGTTGTGGTGTCTGGAAGCAGGGGAGCAGATAGAATAAAAAATGTTTAATGGTAGAATTGACAGCTCTTGTGGAATTATTGTACATGGAGGGTGACAGGTAGCTGTCAAAAGTGCCTCCCAGATTTATGGCTTGAGCCTGTGAGTGTCAATAGGACAGCAGGAGGAAAAGCAGCCAGGGGAGATGGGCTGCTGGAGATGATAACTTCAGTTTAGATATGTTGAGATGGAGCTCCTACAGGACATTTGATCTGAAATGTCTAGCAGGTATTGGGGCCAAAGCACAGGAATGGAGATACAGATTTGTCAATTATATGCATAAAAGGGTTTATGCAAAATATGAAAATGGATCACATTACCTAAGGAGAGCCTATGGCATGAATGATACCTCTCACAGAAACACCAAAGTTGAGGCGTCAGGCCAAAGAGAAGGTCAGGAAGCAGACAACAAAGAAATGTTCAGAAAGAGGAGAAAAAACAAGAGAGAGGGAAGTCACAGCTACCAAGAGAATCAACAACAGTGATTTTAATGCTGTTTTCATTGTACTTTTCTCCAGTCAGTTTTAAGTCATCTGACACTTTTTGTACCACATTGTTTCTAGAATATACCTTCTTAAGAAATGGGTTGTCTTTCTATAACTGGAAGGTCAAGAATGTTCACTTGGGTGACACCTCCAGGAACAAGACAGGCAGGATTTTGACTATCATATGATGTCACTACAGGGCACCTTTGCAGACAGGAAAAAGAAAGGTCACATTAGCTGACTGTTTCTTTAGAAAAAGGGGATATCTCCTTTACAGGCCTTTAAGAATGAAAATAGTCTAATGCTTATTCAACAAGTATTTGTTGACTAGACACTATATACGCTGGGGTTCTAATAGTAGTAAGTCACACAAGGTCCTTGCATTCATGGAGCTCGGTGGCTGATGTGGGCATTACGCTGAAAGTAAACAGTCATTTACAATATGTCTTAAGAGCCAAGTACAGGATGCTAATTGAGAATACCTGAGGAGTACCTGATCTACATTGCAGATAAGGATTCCTGGGCTTTGGTTAGCCTAACATCTGAAGGCTGCAGGAGGGGGTGAAATGATTCAGGTAAAATGAATGGAGGCCAAGGAGAATAGGGGGATAGTAATGGAGAAAGAGCTGAAGAGTATTTTGAGAGAATAGCATGTGTAAAGATCTAGAGACAAGGAACAGCATGTCATATCAACTGAAATAAGCAATTGAGTATGGCTGGAACCTTGATGAGGGAAATATTTTCAAGTGGTACAGATGAGAAATTAGTAGCAGCCGAACCATGAAGAGCATTCCAAGATGCATTATTTTGGAGGGAAAACAAGCAAAACCTGGAAGAGTTTTGTGGAAGTGAATTATGAGATTTACATTTTAAAAGATGTCTTTAGGCTTCAGTGAGCAAAATGGATAACAGGACAAAGCTGAGACAGGGAGAATGGATAGGACATTGTTCAGTAATCAACATTGGAGACAGAGAGAAGCAGATAGATAGAAAAGGAATTCAGACAGTTGATTGATTAAAGCTGGGTGAGGGGAGTGATTAAATAATACTCCGATTTTTGGCCAAGACATCTGGCAGTGAAATGTGGAGCCCTGTAAGAAAAGCAGGTTTGGAGTGAGGGGAAGGTGCTGAGTTCAGCTGGGGACATGTTGAATTTAAAGAGACCGGAAGATATCCAAGGCTTTTAAGCATCCTCAAGGTAAAGATGTTAGAACAGTACATAAGAGAAATTAAGGGAGTAGGTGACATCACCCAGTGAGAGTGTGCAGTGAAAAGAGGTGCTAGGACAGAAGCCTCAGGAACACACCTGCACTTCGAGGACTGAAAAAGTGATTTCAAGAGTAAACAGTTTAGGTACACTGAACAGAGTGGGTGGCCCACACTTTGTTTCTCGGAAGCACAAGGTCAAAATCCCTGTACTTCAAGGCCCCCAGGTGCCTGTAAGCACAGCTGGATTTCAGCAGAGAGACACGCGTGGGCTTCTTTGTAGAACAACCTTTGGTAGTCTGGTTTAATGAAGCTGTAGAAATTTCCTGTGGGTGGATGAGATAAAAAGCAGCTCCATGGGAATGTGATGGGGGATATGAAAAATGTAGAATTTCTCTTACTTAGAAATCAAAAGTAAGATATTATCAGTTTGGGGTCCTTTTAGTAAGTGTGTGGGGACGTCTACTTTGGGAATGCCTTAATTCCTTTTTCTTTGGTTAATAGTGACTAAGGGACTAACAATGTTTAAGAGAAGGCTTAAGAATCAGTCCTGTTTATCTCACTGTGGTTTTTAATTTGCAACATTTGTTATTTATCTTCCTTTTTTCTAAAAGTAATCAAATAAATTTTGGGTTGGTTGTAAGGAAAATAACCATTGCCAACTGCTAACCTCAGAGTCTTATTAGACAGTCTTTTGAGGAGGGGATGGAAGCATCTATCATCCTCTTTGGTCCAAGGCACAGAGCTCTTCCTTTCCTGCAGATCGTTACTTGCCTATGCTATAAATGTTTGTTGGTTTTTCATCTTGTATTTGGTTCTCTTACTACTATTCTTCCTTTTTTTCTGTTTCTGTGGTGGCTTCTTATTCATTTCTATGTCTTTGATGTTACAGAACCCATCTCTGCAAAGCCAGCCTAAGTGGATCTGGATATGGGCAGGAGCTATGATATGGCAACTCTTCTCACTATTACGGTAATCTAAAATGTACCTGGAGATCCCTGAGTGCTGCATGCAAAACTACGATAGTAATATGATCCAGTGTCTGAAAAACACAGCAGTCACACAGCAATTGTCTCTTCGAGATTACCTAGCAAATGGCAAGAGGAGTGAGTGGCTTTGAGGTTGTTCAACATATGTGGCTTCTTGAGGGAAATGACCAACTTATGGCTTAAAAAGGGAGGCTTTGAAAGGGCTTGCAACTAACGTGGTAGGCTTGAAGTGTCTTTTGTAATACGTTGCAGCTGTGTCTGAATGACCCTGTGTAAACAGCAGACGTTTGATTCTATGACTAATCCAAGCTTTATTTCACTGCCTGGGTTCTCAGCAAAAGTGGAGCTATTTTGCTTATGGAAATTTTTATCACTGTTTTTATTCTGCAAA